TTCTTCAATTTCTTTCACAAGTGTTCTATAGTTCACACAGTACAAATATTTTACCTCTTTGGTTAGGTTTATTCCTAGGTATATTATGGGTTTTGGTGCAATTGTAAATGGGATCGATTCCTTGATTTCTTTTTCTGCTGCTTCATTATTGGTATATAGAAATGCAATCGATTTTTGTATATTGATTTTACATCCTGTGGCTTTTCTGAGTTTATGTATCGTTCTAGCAATTTTTTGCCAGTGTCTTTCGGGTTTTCCATGTAGAGTATCATGTCATCTGAGAAGAGTGAAAACTTGATTTCTTCCTTACCAATTTGGATGCCTTTTATTTCTTTTGTTGTGTGATTGCTGAGGCTAAGACTTCCAGCATTATGTTGGACAACAGTGGTGAGAATGAACATCCATGTCATCTTCCTTAGGGGAAAATCTCTCAGTTTTTTCCCATTGAGGAAGATATTAGCTATGGGTCTTTCATATATGGCTTTATTTTGTTGAGGTATGTTCCTTTTATCCCTACTTTCTTGAGGGTTCTTAACAAGAAAGGATACTACTCTTTTTCAAATGTTTCTTCTGTACCTGTTGAGAGGATCGTATGGTTCTTATCCTTTCTTTTATTAATGTGGTGTATCCCATTGATTGATTTGCAGAAACTGAACCACCCCTGCAGCCCAGGAATAAATCCCACTTGATCATGGTGAATAATTCTTTTAAAGTACTATTGGATTCAATTTGCTAGTATCTTTCTTGTTGAGAATTTTTGCATCCATGTTCATCTGGGATACTGGTCTGTAATTCTCCTTTTTAGTGGGACCTTTGGTCATGACACAATAGCCTTAGCTGGGTAGTAAGTAGTCAATCAGAGAACACTCAAAATAAGAATTAGGAATTTTGTGACTATTGCTTATCTCTAGTAGGATTAAGATAGATGCTAAATGTAAAGAGCCAGGCAGTAGCCAGGATTTAACTTCCTTTCCTGAAAATCTAGTGTGAATTGACTATTTTTAGAACCACATTTTATTTCACTATTTTTTCTGTGTGGCATATTTAAGTATTACCCAAAATGCCTCTAAAGATCATCTAGTCTTTAAAATATATAATCACAATTGTTGGTTTTAACATACATTTTATTTTAACCGTTAGCCATCTATTTTTGTTTTCTGGTGTAACTCTCTAAAATGTAATAAAAGGCAATAGGAAAATAAGATGCAATATACAGAGCCACATTTACAGCCTTCAGAAAGAGATCCCTTCCACAAAGTGAAAATGTAACTGTAACTGGATGTCCTTTAGGAAAGAACTGAGGATTTGAGGTTGTCTGGACCTAGAGCAGGAGGATTTCTGAGGGTTTAATAACAAAAGAGAGGTTTTCTTTGTTCTATTTCACAGAAGCAAAGTGAGTTGAATGACTGACAGTTGCCTGGACAAATTACTAATATAAGCAATAAACCTTAATTAAGAACTCATTCTAAAATATCTTTAATATAGTTCTATGATGGTAATACTTTTTTGATTATTTTAATTATGATTCCCCTCCAGGGGCTTATGGTTTATTCACTCTATGGTCGTCGACATTTCTTAGCAGATTGAAAAAGAGATGAAACTGTGTGGTAATTAATAAAATGTGCTGTTGGTTCTTTCTAAATGTGTGTGGTTTGTGCACTTATAACCAACTTTGAGGTAATAATTAACTAAGCTTTACAATCAGACTTCCCAAATCCCAGGAACACTTTCACCTAATATTTCAGGTTGCTGCCACTTATGGAATGAAATCCAACTTATTTAGTAAATCTTGCTGAATTTAGGATTTTATAAATTAAGAAAATAGAGGTAAAAAATTTGAAATTTTTGTCTAATTTTTCTAATTTAGTTTAATAGATGAACTATTTATAAGGAGACAAAGTCTATCCTACTCAATATATGATTTCTTGTCTTCATAATTTCCCTCACACACCTCAACCACTACAAAAGAGTTGCATTATTTTCAAACCATACAATAAATTCTTACCTCCTCAAATACAGAGGATAACCTTGCAGCCTCCTTCATTTATTTCAATAATACGCACTAATATTTGAGCATTTATAGCTGCTAATCACAGAGATAAACCACATATATATTATCTTCAAATTTTCCAAAATATATTTTTTTTGTCCCAGAACCTCTTTTTTTTTAGTATGAAATTTATTGTCAAATTGGTTTCCATACAACACCCAGTGTTCATCCTAACAGGTGCCCTCCTCAATGCCCATCACCCACCCTCCCCACCCTCCCACCCCCCACCAACCCTCAGTTTATTCTCAGTTTTTAAGAGTCTCTTATGGTTTGACTCCCTCCCTTTTTTTTCATCCAAAATATTTTAAGCGAATAATCCATGTGAAATTAATAGAAAAGAGTGGGAAGGAGTCTTCTCAATTAAAAAAAAAAAAAGTCCTATATTTAAGTAAAGCAAATAATGGCTTACAACAAACTAAGCCAATCTGTGAAGTCTTCAAGAACATCATAAGCATTATAAATCCCCAAAATAAATATTTTAGGATGGAGCTATATCCACTTGTGACAGGATAACTTCCTTTCCCCCCAAATCACTCATTAGACTATTTCACTAAATATTTTTGAAAACAGTCACTTTACCTATTATATGCAACAACCCTCTAGAGCAGGTTATGCTCTATGCTTTGGCAGGTTATCCATGCCAAATTTTAAAGATTGGAAAACTGCAAATGTAAAGATATACCATGTTAATGGATTGGAAGAATTAATATTGTTAAAATGCCCATGCTATCCAAAGTAATCTAAAAATTCAGTGCAAATCCTGTCAAAATCACAACAGCATTTTTCACAAAACTAGAGCAAATAATTCTAAAATTTGCATGAAATCATAAAATACTTTGAATAACCAAAGAAATCTTAAAAATAACAAAAGTGGTGGTATCACAATCCCAGACTTCAAAATATACTACAAAACTATAGTAATCAAAACAGTATGGTACTGGCACAAAAATAGACACTTAAATCGATGGAATAGAATAAACAGACAAGAAAATGAACCCACACTTATGGGGTCAATCTATAAGAAAGGAGGCACGAAAATACAGTGAGAAAAACAGCTTTTTCTATAAGCGGTGCTGGGAAAACTGGACAGTTACATCCAAAAAAATGAAATTGGACCACTTTCTTGCACCATACACAAAATCAAAATGTATTAAAGACCTAAATGTGAGAGCTAAATCCATAAAACTCCTAAAAGAAAATATAGGCAGTAATTTCTTTGACATCAGCGTTAGCAACATTTTTCTAGATAGGTCTCCACAAGAAAAGGAAACAAAAACAAAAATAAACTTCTGAGCCTAGACCAAAATAAAAATCTTATGCACAGCACCAGAAACCATCAGCAAAGTGAAAAGGCAACCTAGTCAACTGAAGATATTTGCAAATGATACATTCAATAAGGAGTTAATATCCAAAATAAAGAACTCATACAACTCATACCAAAAAAAAAAATCCAATTTAAAAATGGACATAGACCTAAGTAGACATTTTTCCAAAGAAGACATACAAATGGCCACTAGAAACATGAAAACATGCTCAGCATCACTATCAGGGAAATGCAAATCAAAATCACAATTAGATTTCACCTTACACCTGTCAGAGTGGCTAAAATCAAAAAGTGTTGGTGAGGATGCGGAGAAAAAGGAACACTCATTCAGTGTTAGTACAGGCACTGTGAAAAATAATATGTATTTTCCTCAGAAAAGTAATAATAGAAATACCATATGATTCAGTAATTCCATTACTGGGTATTTATCCAAAGAAAGTGAAAATGCTAATTCAAAAAGTGTATGTACTCCTCTATCTATTGCAGCATTATTTACAGAAGCCAAGATATAGAAGCAACTTATGTGTCCAACGATAGACAAATGGAAAAGGAAGATGTGGTATAACAATGGAGTATTATGTAGCCATAAACAGAATGAGATCGTGCCATTTCTGATGACAACATGGATGGACCTAGAGGGTATTATGCTAGCTAAAATAAGTCAGAATGAAAAAGAAAAATGCCATATGATTTCATTTATATGTGGAATCTAAAATAAACAAAAAAACAAAAAACCAAATGAGACCTATAAATACAGTGAGCGAGCTGATGGTTGCCAGAGTGGGGTGGGATGATGGGAAAAATTGGTGAAGGGAAGTGGGATATACAGGCTTCCAGTTATGTAATGAAAAAGTCACAGGACTCAAAGGCACAGCATAAGAAATACAGTCAAGAGTATTGTAATAGTGTTGCATGGTGACAGATGTTAGCTACATTTCTGGTGAGCACAGAATCACATATAGACTTGTCAAATCACTATGTTGTATATCCCAAACTAATGTAATAATGGGTGTCAACTACACTCAAATTTAAAAAAAGAAAAAGAAAAAAACTAATTCAATTATGAAATTACCAAGTGTGTATATTTGGCCACTTCTCTCTCTTTCACCCAAATTTCACAGGGAACATAGCACTGTTCAGAGTCTTTACATATGGCCTCTGGAAGGCTGACAAAGATAGGAACCTAAATATCCTGGGCCATACTGCCTAAAGTAGAGTCCATCCAACAGCCCTTGGGGTTTAGCTGCCATACCTTTAACAACATCTTGGCTAACAAAAAGAGGGCCTGAGAAGATCAGATTTAACCCAGGTACACCACTTCCTGACAATACCTTTCAGGTCTAGAGTTGATTGCTTTCCAGAGTTTGAATCCAAACACCTAATCAGGACCTGGTGTCCCTTGGGTACTCATAACTTAAGCAATTACTTTCAGGCCCAAAGTATATTTTCTCTTCAGCAGCAAAATGTCCTGTTTGGCTTCTGTTTGGCTTTATCCTGGGATATCCAAACTGGTATTACAGCTCTGAGATATCCAAACCCTGGGCTTTACTGTATGGGCTCAGCTACATACTGATAGGCTAAATAAGACAAGTGAGGCAATGGAGCTCACTGGCAATATCACAGAACCTCAGTTGCCTTGGCACCAATTCTAGGAAGAAAACACAAAGAAAGGAAAGCAGAAAACAAAAAGAAGGATGCCTGGGTGGCTCAGTTGGTTAAGCATCTGAATTTGGTTCAGGTCATGATCTCATGATTCATGAGCTCGAGCCCCGCATCAGGCTCTGTGCTGACAGCTCAGAACCTGGAGCCTGCTTTGGATTCTGTGTGTGTGTCTCTCTCTCCGACAATCCCACCCCCACCCCACTTGCACTCTGTCTCTCAGAAATGAATAAACATTAAAAAAAAGAAAATGGAAAGAGTCAAAAGCATAATAATAATAATAGAGTGATAGAAAAACATGGGTTCAAGTTTACATTTGAAGAATTTATCTAAAATTGAAACATCTAGAAAATTTCAATTTTTTTTTTCAGAATGGCTGTCTCTTTTGGGGGAAGTGACATATCAGAGAAGACTGGTTTATGAGGTACTTCTGAAATTAAAAAGGGAAAGAACTAATTTGGAAAGTTACATACTAATGGGATACAACACAAATATTACTAATCACAAAATATTTTTAAAAGATTGTACCAAAAATTACATACTGTATTATTCCTTTTATATAATATTCTTGAAATGACAAAATTCTAGAAATGGAGAACAGCTTAGTGGTTGCCCAGGGATTAAGAAGGAGATGGGACCAGAAGGAAGTGAGTGTGGCCATACAAGGAAAACACCAGGGATCCTCGTAGTGATAGAAATGTTTTTATCTTTCCTCTTACCAATGTCAATATCTTGTCTATGATATAGTACTATAGTTTTTCAAGCTGTTGCTATTGGTGAAAACTGGGTAAAGAGTACATGGATTTCTCTGTGTTACTTCTTACAACTGAATGTGAGTCTACAATTACCTCCAAATAAAAAGTTTAATTAAAAAAAAATTAAACAGATGAACATAGGGGGACATAAAAGAGAGATAAATAGAAAACAGACTCAACTATGGAGAACAAACTGAGGCTTCCTGGGCAGGAGATCAGTGGGTATTAAGGAGTGCATTTGTCATGATGAGCACTAGAAGTTGTAAGTGATGAATCACTAAATTCTACACCTGAAACTAGTATTACACTGTATGTTAATCAACTGGAATTTAAATAAAAACTTTAAAAAGGTGGGGGGCGGGGGGAGAGAAGAGTTAAAATGGCAGAGTAGGAGGAGGACCCTGGCTAGTCTCACTCCTCCAACACAGCTAGATCAACATCAAATCATTTTGAACACCTGGGAAATTGATGAGGCTTAAGAGAACAATCTGCATAATTTGAGGGAGAGAACGTGGCAGGTACGTGGCGCAGAGAGGGAAATTGGGGGAGAGAAAAGCCGTGGTGCTGAGGGGTGGGAACCTCTTCATGGAGAGAAAAAGACAGGGAGAGAGAGAGCAGTGTGTTGGGTTCGTGCAAGAAAAGTACTCCCCCAAAACCACTGACGAGTAACAGACTATAGAAAATTTTTGCAAACAATTGAGCTGAAATTCTGAGTTTTGGGAAATCTGGAGTAGGGCCGGCAGCAATGCACCTGGGGAGAAGGGGGGTGGGGGCCTGAATGGACAGCCAACAGTGTAGGGGATCCCCTGGGCCACACTGGTAGAGAATGTTCCTCTCCCTGGAATGCATTGGGAAGAAAGTATATTGCCTCTCCAAGGACAAAAGCACCCAGTTGGTGCCTTTGAGCAGCCAATTAACAGCAGGGGACAGAAGCACATGTAGAGGGCAGCTATAGTGGTCGCAGCTTTTCCCTGTGCATCACCATAAGCTCTAGGCACCTGCAATGCTGTGCGACTACTTTTCTGGGACAGAACAGTGCCAGGCATAGCACTGCAGGGCTCTCATCTAGAGGAGGGAAGCAGGTATGCCTGTGACCCAGTCCTGTAAGATTTGCACTGGAGATAAAACACAGGAGAGCTGTGGCACCCGGCACAGAAAGGTTGAGAGGAGGGATCTGACAGAAGCCTGGGACAGAGGAGGGAAAAGTGTTTGCCTGTCTGTGAGGGCTACCTGAAGAGAGGTGCCAGCTCCCTTACCTGGGACCAGAGAGCGGTGTGATGCCATCTTGCCCAACACACCAGCTTAGTCGGCCTTGAGTGAGCAACACAGCGCCCCCAGTGGAGGGGGAGTTGCTTACACCAATCCCCACTCCCCTGCATCTTAAAGGGGCTACGGGAGGTCAGGTCTGGCTGTGAGCCAGCACAGCAGGCCCTTTTTCCCTCAGAGGATGAGCATAACCTCCCTGTCCCCGACTCCCCCACATGCACCAAATTAACTGATCATAGAGTGCTCCAAAGCATCAGCTTCAGTTTTTCAGTTTTGATGGAAATACGAACAGGTTTTTTTTTTGGTTTTTTTTTTAAATCAGGCTGATATTTTTTGTCTATTTGCTTTTTATTTTCTTTTCCCGTTTTATGGGTCAGGCTTCTTTTTCTTTCGTTCTTTTTCTTCTTTTTTTCTTTATTTTTCTTTGGAATCAGGCTTATAGTCTTCTGTTTGTCTATTTGGAGATTTTTGTTCTTTTCCTTTTATTTTGCTTCAGATCTTTTGTTGTTGTTTTAAACCAGGCTTATTTTAACAAACAAATCAAAACATACCAGTTGAAGGTCCAAACACTCCCCACTACAAGCAAAGGGGAACTCTGCAGGGGACTGACCTGGGGAAAAGAGCAGCCAAATCACAACAGCAGAGTGCACACAGCATGTACCAGAAACACTTCCTGAAGCACCAGGCTCTGGGAAGTGTATAACCCCTTCTTCATATAGCATTACCCTCAGGAGCAGGAAACAGAACAAGCTTTCATAACACACACAAACCAGAAATCTAGATGAAATGACAAGATGGAGGAATTCTCCCCCAAATAAAGATCACAAAGAAACCACAGCCAGGGATTTGCTCAAAAGAGATATAACTAATATATAAGAACAAGAATTTAGAACAACAGTCATAAAAATACTAGCTGGGCTTGAAAATAAAAAGCAAAAAGACACCAGAGAAATCCTTCCTGCAGAGATAAAAGTCTTAAAAACTAGTCAGGCTGAAATTAAAAAATACTATAATGGAGATGCAAAACCAACTGGATGTAATCACAATGAGGATGGAAAAAGCAGAGGATTGAGTAAGTGATATAGTAGATAAAACTGTGGAAAATAATGAAGTTAAAAAGTAAAGGGAAAGAAAACTATTAGATCATGAATATAGACAGGGAAATCCACAATTCCAGAAAGTACAATAATATCCATATCATCAGAGTCCCAGGAGAAAAGCAGGAAAAAGGAACAGGTTTATTTAGACAAATTACAGCTGAAAGCATCACTAATCTGGGGAAGGTAACAGACATCCAAGTCCAAGAGGCACAGAGAACTCCCCTAAAAATCAACAAAAACAGATCAATACCAAGACATACCATAGTGAAACTCGCAAAATACAAAGATAAAGAGAATTCTGAAAGCAGCTAGGGACAAAAGGACCTTAATATACAAGGGTAGACACACAAGGTTAGCAGCAGACACTTGGCAGGCCAGAAGGGAGTGGCATGATATATTCAATGTGCTAAACATGAAAAATACACAAGCAAAAATACTTTATCCAACAAGGCTGTCATTCAGAACATAAGGAGAGAGAAAGAGTTTCCAAGACAAGCAAAAACTGAGAGTTTGTGAACACTAAACCAGCTCTGCAAGAATTATTAAAGGGTACACTTTGAGTTGGAAAGAGAGACCAAAAGCAACAAAGACTGGAAAGGAACAGAGACAATCTACAAGAACAGTGATTTTACAGGCAATACAATGGCATTAAATTCATATTGATCAATAATTACTCTGAATGTAAATGGACTAAATGTGCCAATGAAAAGACAGAAGGTATCAGAATAGCTTTAAAAAAAAATGAGACCCATAATATGTTGCTTACAAGAGACTCATTTTAGAACCCAAAGACACTTCTGGGTAGAAACTGAGGGGGCGGAGACCCATCATGCTAACAGACATCAAAAGAAAGTTGGAGTAGCCATACACATATCAGATAAACTAGATTTTAAAACAAAGACTTTAATAAGAGATGAAGAAGAGCACTGTATCATAATAAAGGGGTCTATCCAACAAGATCTGACAATTATAAATATTTATGTCCCAAATTTGAAAAGCCCAAATATATAAATCAACTAATAACAAACTTAAAGAAATGCATTTGATAATAATACATTAATATTAGGGAACTTTAACACCCCACTTATAGCAATGGACAGATCATGTAAGCAGAAGATCAACAAGGAAACAATGGCTTTGAATGACACATTGGACCCAATGGAATTAACAGATATATTTAGAGCATTTCACCCTAAAGCAACAGAATAAACATTCTTTTTGACTGCACATAGAACATTCTCCAGAAAAGACCACATACAGGGTCACAAATAAGGCCTCGGCCAGTAAAAAAAAAAAAAAAAAAAAAAAAAAAAAAAAAAAAAAAGATTGAGATAAGGCCATGCATATTTTCGGACCAAAACATCATGAAACTTGAAGTCAACCACAAAAAGAAAGACTGCAAATAATGGAAGTTCAATAATATCCTATTAAAGAATTAAAGGGTTAACTAGGAAACTAAACAAGAAATTAAAAATACATGGAAGTCAATGAAAATGAAAACATGACAGTCCAAAACTTTTGGCATGCAGTAAAAGCAGTCATAAGAGGGAAGTATATGGCAATCTGGGTTTTCCTCAAGAAGTAAGAAAATTCTAAAATACACAACCTAACACTAAACTTAAAGGAGCTGGAAAAATAACAGCAAATAAAGCCTAAAACCAGCATATGGAGGGAAATAATAAAGATTAGACCAGAAATAAATGATATAAAAATTTAAAAAACAGAACAGATCAACAAAACTAGGAGCTGATTCTTTGAAAGATTAACAAAACTGATAAACTCCTAGCCAGACTTATCATAAAGAAAAGAGAAATGACCCAAATAAATAAAAACACAAATGAAAGAGGAGAGATCA